CTGCCAGGAGCAATTCCTGAGTGCAGAGCCAGGAGTAACCCCTGTGCATCGCCAATTGTGACCCCCCACCTTCCCCCCAAATGGGGAGGGGGCTGAAGCAACAGAACAGTGGGAAGGGTGTTTGCTTTGCCTGCAGTTGACCTGGGTTCAATCCTCGGCACTGGTACGTTCCCCTCTCCTGAGCCTGCCAGGGGAGATCTCTGAGCTCAGAGCCAGTCTGGCCGCCAAACCAAAATAAACAAATGAGAACCCTGGTGGTGGGGGGAGCTGGTCCAGGTGAAGTTGTAACCCCTAAGAGCAGTGTCTCCGCCTCCTGTCTGACACCCTAATTTTCAGTATGCTTAGGTGTTGGCTAACTTGCATAGCCTGGACCCCAGCACAGCACTGGGCCAGACACAGCAGCTGCATTAACTGTGTGACATCAGGCCAGTCACCTGCCTTCTCTGATCTTCCGTTTCCTCGCCCATAAAACTAGGTTAAGTGCAGGGGAGAGAGGGAGGGAGGGAGGGAGGGAGGGAGGGAGGGAGAGAGAGAGAGAAAGAGAGAGAGAGAGAGAGAGAGAGAGAGAGAGAGAGAGAGAGAGAGAGAGAGAAGAGGGGAGATAGATGGGGAAAGAGAGAGAGGGAGGAGAGATAGAGGAGGGGAGAGAGAGGAGGAAGAGAGAGGGAGAGAAAAAGAGAGAGGGGAGACAGAGAGAGACAAACAGTGGAGAGAGAGGGAGAGACAGAGGGGGGAGAGAGAAGGAGAGGGAGGGAGACAGAGAGAGGGAGAGAGAAAGAGATAGAGAGACAAAGAGAGAGGGAGAGAGACAGAGAGAGGGAGGGAAAGAGAGAGGGAGGGAGAGAGATAGAGAGAGACGGAGAGAAAGAGAGAGAGGGAGGAGGGAGGGAGGGAGAATTCAATGGGCTGAGCACATGCTTTGCACGCAGTAGCGCCCGGGGCAGTCCTTGGCACCACATGGCCCCCTGAGCACCACTTTTAAGCCATCCCTGAGCACCACCGGGTGTGGCAGAAAATAAAACCACTCCCCAAAAAGACCAGCTAAGTGCATCTGCAGTGTGTGTGTTGGGGGGGGGGGGGGGGGCGGGGGGCGGCACTGGCGCTCTGGGGCCCCCGGGAGGAGGTAGACTTTCCCTCCGCGGCCACGAGGGGGCGCACACACCTGTGCCCGGGAGACTGCGGGTTTGAAGCCGCTTCCAGGGTCTGTGGGCGAGGTTTCGGCTGCCTGGCCCAGGGATGGTGGGGGCGGGGGGTGGACCCCCAGAAGCGGGACGTCGAGCACCGTACCTGGAGGAGCCGGTTCATCTTGCCCAGGTGGATCATGAAGCCGTCCGTGCAGGCGATGTCCGAGGGCGAGTGGCCGCCGCCCACCACCTTCACGCGCTTGTTCTGCTGCCGGGCCAGGGCCAGCACCTGCCGGACAGCCCGAGTCAGCCGGGCCGGGGTCTGGGAGACCCTGGCGACTCACCTCTCTGCACCTCCGGGCCGTGGGGCTGCAGCTGGGGAAGGGCACCCCCAAAACGGAGGCAGGAGGCTGGGCCGGGGGTGGACCACAGGGGCACTGTCCACCCGAGGGCGCGCTTGGCCCTCCACCCCCCACCCCCCACTTTGCAACAGCAGGCAAGCCTCTCCAGCCACCCAGCCCGGGTCTCAGCCGCCCCCCCCCCACCCCCACCCCCAGCTCCACAGGACTAAAGGCTACCCCCGCAGAGAGCGGCTTCATTATCGGCTCTGACAGCACATGGTTTACACAAAGGAGATCTGGGTTCAGTCCCCAAACGGTCCCCCAGAACCTACAGGAGCGACCCCCAGCACAGACGGAAGTAAGCTGCCCCCCCGCAATTTTATTTTAATTTTATTTTTCTTTGCATTTGGGGGTCACATCCGGCGGTGCTCAGGGATCACTCCTGGCTGGCTCCGGGGGACCCTATGGGATGCTGGGGACCGAACCTGGGTTGGCCGTGTATAAGGTCAGCAGGGTGGGACAGGGACCAGGGGTTCATGGGGGTACCAGCGGGGTGGAGCGGGGCCCAGGAGCCATGGGGGTCTCAGCGGCATGGGGCGGGCCCCAGGGGCTGTGGGGTCCTGGTCAGGCCCGGGCACTCACCTCCCTGACCTCCTCCTGGCTGGAGGGCTGGAAGTACATCTCAGGGCGGCAGCTGTAGGTCCGCGCCCAGTTTTCGAAGTGGACGCCTTTGTACCCGTGGACCTGACATGAGGTAGGGGGTGGGGGGAGAAACTGGGTCGCGGCGAAGGGATTGCTGCTGCTCCCAGCACCGAGGGGTCCTGGTCAGCCCAGAGAGACCCTCCAGGAAACCCTTGGTCCAGATGGCTGGATCCACCCCCAAACCCTGGCCACCCGCAGGTGAGGGCCCTGGACGGATCAGGGGAAGCAGGTTTCTGGACCTTTCTGGCCACGGGGGGTGGGAGGGGGCATCTAATGGGGCAGGGAAGGGGCGTCTGGGCGGCCCCTTAGCAACCTTCCTGCTGCCAGGCGCCAGCAGGGAGCCCTGGTGAGACCCCCCACGCCCTGCATGCAGTGCAGACGGGGCATGTCTCCACTGTTCTCAGGAGCATTTCAGGCTCAGAGAGGTCGAGCTACTCCTCTGAGGAGTCCCAGCACCCAGCGTGTCCCCGGCCTCCCCTGGGGTTCCCGGTTTGGCTGGACCCTCTCGCCTCCAGGTGCAGCCTGGAGTCCTTACCATGGCTGCAGCGGCAGGCGGGCGGCTGGGCTGAGCACAGCTTCCCCAGGGACCTACCGACAGCCAGGGTCAGGCGGCAGCTCTGGACTGGCGCTGGTGGACAGAGGCCCACACCCAGGGGCGGGGCCGGGCCAGGCTCCACCAGACAAACAGCCCCCGGGGGCCTGGGGGAAAGGGCAGAGGTGAAGGCTTTCTGGAACCTTCCTGAGCTCTGACCCCTGCCGTGTGTGCTGAAGCCACACAGCCCTGGTCTCACGTCTACACCCAGGCAGGCTGGCGGGGTTGGGGCGGGTGGCCCAGGCGAGGGCCCTCAGATCTGGAGGGTGGACACCCGGTTAATCCTCCTGTGCGTCCAAAGATGGGTAGTCCCAGTGGACAGAAGGACAAGCCTGCACCCCTGGCCCAGCCAGCACAGTGACATCTTGGGGCCCAGGACACAGCCCAGCGGCTGCAGGAAACAGGCTTTGCCATTAGCACGCAACGGAACACCCCACACCACGGAGCCGAATCCAGCTCTCTCCGTCCCGGGTCTCCATACAGGTGCCTTTTTTTTGGGGGGGGGGCGGGTCCCACACCCTGGCTCTGTGCTCAGGGGACCAGGTGAGCTGCCAGGATGCAAACCTGGTTAGCGGTGTGCAAGGAAAGCGTCCCATCACCCCCGCACCCCTGGGCTCTCTCCAGCCCCTGTTCTGTTTTTCTGTTTTGGTTTGGGGGCTCCACCTAGTTGCTAGAGTTGGGGTGGGGGCTCTCTCTGCAGTGTTTGGGGGGCCACACACCCCACACAGGCTTTTCGGTGCAGCGGGGGCCTGAGCTGAGCCCCAGAACTGCCTCCAGGGGTGCTTAAGGTTTGCTCCCTCTGCCGTACCCCCCAGTGCTAGGTCAGGCCCCGAGCTCTGTCCAGCCCCGTCAACCTCACACACTGCTTTTGTGGGGAAAAAAGTGAGAGGGGATGAGAGAGATGGACAGCAGGTGAGGTGCTCGCCTTGCAGACATTGGACCTGGCCTGGATCTCCGGCACCCCTGAGGGTTCCCTGAGCCTGCCAGGAGTCATCCCTTAGCACAGAGCCGGGAGCCCCACTGGGTGTGGGCCCTGGGCCCAGAGAGAGAGCATGGGGGTCCACGTGGGCCCTGGAGGGTCTGGTGGTGGATGGGACACATCAGGGTCTAAGTGTCCCCTGGAAGGGGACCCTGCTACCCTTCCTCCATCCCCCCTGCATCCAGGCCCCTGATAGCCCCTCACTGCAGGGAACCACACCCAAGGCCATCGGCCACGGCACCTGCCTCCCCCACAACCCCCGCCCAGCCTTGGACCTCAGGACCGGCTCCCCGATGCCTCCTCTCCTGAGTCCAGTGGCTCTTGTGGCATCTGCTGAGTGTGGCAGTTCCCCTCCCCGCATTTTAACTCCCCCCTTCCCTTCCCTTATTGTGTGTGTGTGTGTGTGTGTGTGTGTGTGTGTGTGTATGCGCGCGTGTGCACGCACGCACACATGTGGCTGTGAACCCAGTGGACTATGGAAAATGCAAACAGCCTGACCAAAGGATTGGGTCCACGTGGTGAGATCAAACCCTCAGCTTCAAGCCCAGGCCGAGGAGCACATCCTGATCTTTTTGGGGGGCCTAGGAGGCGCACCTGGCAGTACGCAGGGCTCATGCCCTGGCACGTCCCTCCCACCAGCACATTCTCTTTACAAGACGAGGGCCCAGGAGATGTGGCTCCATGAGCAGTGCTCACGGCACGGAGGGGAGATCGTGACCCCCAGCACGGCCAGGGGGAGTCTCAGTGTTGTAGTCAGGCGCTCAGCCCCCAGAACACACAACCAAGTGTGGCCCCCGCCCCCTCCCCATCACAGAGGGAAGGGAAGGCACAGATGGTTGGGTTAGTACCCAGAGCAAGGCGGGGTCTCGCTCTCTAAAATGACCCCTGCCTCTCCGGTTCTTTGTCCTCCCAGATCTGGGGTAACCAGTGAAGATAAGGGCCAGTTCTGCCTTCCACTCAAACCCTGATAAGCCTCTGGAAGGTTCTGGAATATTCTTGTGGAGAGTTCGTAGAGAGCAAACTGTCTTCCCCACACTTGGACACATGCCAGAGTGCAGATCTCCTGGGCTGGAAATCTGGACCTCTCGCTTGGTGCTGGTGCTGAGTGGACAGAGAGATGCTGTGTGAGGGTCGGGCAGGACCCCACCGTGGGCTTTTGGGAACAGATGCGGTAGGGGCTGGAGGGGCACAAGGGTCGAGTGCAAGAATGAAACCTGGGTCCGAGTCTACACACTACACATAACAACAATAATAGTGGGAACTTTTGTTTTTTGTTTTTATTTACTTTCCTTTTATTTATTGCCTTTGGGAGCCATACCCGGCGATGCTCAGGGGTCACTCCTGGCTCTGGACTCAGGAATTACTCCTGGCAGTGCTCAGGGGACCATATGGGATGCCGGGGATCGAACCCAGGTTGGCATTATGCAAGGCAAGCGCCCTCCCTCCTGTCCTATCACTCCGGCCCCAATAATGGGAGTTTTTTTTTTTTTAATCAATTAAAAAGTGAATCTGTACCACAAGGAATAGAAAAATATTTTTTTCAGATCACCTGTTTTAGAAGAAAATCATACTTAAAATAGACAAAAATGACAGCTGAGCACCCCAAACACCCGGCTCAGCTGAGGAAGCCCGCCCCTGGCCCCCTGTGGAGACAGACCAACCTGCTCCCTGCGGTCAGTGCTGCAGAGAACGGGGTGGGCGTCTGAGCGGGAGCAAAGCTGGGGCAAGGGCGGGGTGTGGGGGGATCGAGTGGCGGGCGGCTCCTCTTGGGACACACCTGAGCCATCTCAGAGCCCCAGAGTGGGGCCAGAGTTGGGCCCAGGCTGTCCCAGGCGGGCTCCCTGAGCAGCAGCCCAGAGCTCTGCAGACACGCCCCCCGGGCAGAGGAAACTGCCCTGAGAGTGTCGGGCTGGGCTTGGGCTGGAAGTGGCCGCGGTCCTGCGACCCCTGAGACTGATTATTGCGGATTCAGATGCCTTCCTGGCAGCCCCCCAGAGCAATGCTGTGGACTCAGGGGGAAGGTCCCAGGAGAGGAGGACCCGAGGGGGGCTAGAGCTTGGAGGTCATGGGGGGCTGCCCGGCTTCCTCCTGTAGCCACTTGATGAGGATCTGGTTCACCTCCGCGGGCCTGGGAGGGAGAGAGAGGGCTCCTGTCTGCACCCTGCGGGCCCACTGAGGCAGGGGCGCCTTCAGGGGGTGCAGAACCCCCACCCAGGCCTCCCACTCCTTACTTCTCCATCTGGGTCCAGTGCCCACAGTCCTTAATGTGTCCCCTTTTCAGGTGGGGGATCTGAAAGAAAGCCCGCCCAGGGGTGACCTGTGAGAACTGGGTAGTGGGAACCCTGGTGAAGGGGGGCTTCTCAATGCTCCCCAAAGACATAGCGGGGTCACCCTCCCCCATGTCCCCATGCACTACAGCGAACAGTAAAGGGGAATGAATGAATGAAAGGGTCAGAGAATGAATGAGTGAATATAAGGGAGTGTGCGGTAGAGGGAGTGAATGAATGAATAAGCAAATGAATGAATGAGTGAATGACTCAGTGAATGAGCGAATGAATGAATAAGTGAATGAATGAGTAAATGAATAAGTGAGTGAATGAATGAATCAATGAATGAGTGAATTGGTGAGTGAAATGAGTGAGTGAATGAGTAAATGAATTAGTGAGTGAGTGAATGAATGAATGAGGGAATGAATGAATGAATGAATGGGTGAGGGAATGAGTGAGTGAGTGAGGGAATGAGTGAGTGAGTGAGCATGAGAGACTGAGAGGGCAGGTGAGGGACACGCTGCAGGGGAGGGGCGTCCCAGCAGGCGAGTGCTCTGCTGCCCAGTCTGCAGGTGCCAGTGGCCACGCTCTCCGGGAGGCACGTGGGCAGGCGGGCCCCTTACCCAGTCCTCCATGTGCTTGGTCATGTCGGGGTGCAGCACAAAGTCCTTCTCGGCGGTGACCATGAGCGCAGGGATGAGGATCTGGAGCGGGCAGGGGGCAGGGGCTGGAGCAGGGGCGTGCCAACCACGTGGGGTGGGTGGGGGATCTCGCTCTGCTCGAGGCCCCGTGGCCCAGGCTCTGCTCCTCGGGACGGAGGCCCCTCCCTGGAGGGCAGTGTCCAGCCCTGTCCTGACAGCCCGTCAGTGCCAAGACTTCGGGAGTGCCTGGTTCTCTGATGGGGCTGGGGGCTCAGCGGGGCTCAGGGGCAGACCCTGTCCTCCATCACCGCTTTGGGAGGTGCGGGGCTGCAGAGAGGCTGAGAGGCAGCAGCGCCCGCGGAATGGACAGACCAGAGGCCCTGGTTGGAGAAATTCCGCGTTGCTGAGCAGGGATGAGCCAGAGAGCGGGCAGCGGGCCATATGTGCGCTGGGACCCCCGCCCGGCCGGGTCCCTCTCTGCATACTCGGTTGCGTCCTGGGGCAGGTGGGAGGGAGGCGCCCACGGGTTCTAGGTTGGACCAGCTGGAGGCCCCGCCCCCAGTGCCCCTCCACCAATCAGGAGCAACAGCAGCAGAAGGGGGCAGGGCCTCCGGGAGGTCCAGGACTGGGCGCCCAAGACCCCAGGGGGACAGGCCGGGAGGAGGGAGGCAGTGTCCGCGGCGCTCACCTTCCGTCCCGAGGCCTTGCAGCTCCACTTCCAGTTCGCCTCCATGTTCCGGTACCAGTTTAGAGGACCCCTGTGTGTGTATGGGGGAGAGATCAGAGAGTGAGGGTCTTGAGGACCCTCAAACCCTAGAAATGCCCACTGAACCCCACACTGGGACCCTCCGCCTCTGCCTATCTGTTTGGGCAGCTCCAACGATGGCCGAGCAGGGGGAGGTGGTGAGACTCCTGGCGCTGGAGGCAACCAAGGGGAGGGAGGCTCAGGGTCCCCGCTCTGACCCACCAACCCCGCCCCACCCCTACCTGAAGCCTGATTTCTTGAACTGCTGTACGTAGAACTGGATGTCCTCCTCCGTGGTGATCCTGCTGAGGCCAGGCTGCTGTGGGGTCTTAACGAACAGCCCCCCTGCGGGACATGCCCAGTCTAGCACTCAGAGCCTCACAGCCCCTGGACGCCAGGCCCCGACCCCAGGCCCTCCTTGGGCGCCCATCCCTGCGCTCTGCTCCACAAGGAGCCAGCTGGGCCCCCACTCAAGGGCCCCCGAGCTGCTCTGCACACCGCAACCCCTCCCCTGCGGTCACTCAGTGGGGACTCATGGTCAGCTGCAGCACATGAAGCCAATGCCCACATCACTCTGCCTCCTTGCGGCCCCGCAGTCACCAAGGACGAAGCGGGGGCGGAGGGGGGAGGCTCTTACCCATTTCTCGGACATTGTGCACAGCAAGGAAAGTCTACAACACAGAGAGAGAGAGAGAGAGAGAGAGAGGTCATCGTGGGCGACAGCATGGATGGACACAGGGCTGGGATGGAGCATCTGGCCAAGCGGGCCCCCGCCAGGTCACCACCCCGACCGGGGCCGGGGGTGGGCAACACAGAAGCAGCCCACATCCAAGGCACCTGTGGGTGCTCTGGTGAAACACCAGCCGGACCGGGCGCCAAGCCAGCAGAGGAAGGAGGCTCGTTTCCTCCTGCCGCGGCGGCGTGGGAAGGAGCTTGAGGCCAAGCAGCAATGTCCCCGCACACCGGCCAAGTCCCACCGCGTGAGGCTGCGAGGGGGTCGCACAGCACTGAGGCTTCAAGCTCAGAGAGGGAGGGATGGGGGAAGACAGGGGTGCAGGAAAGGTGCAGACAGTGGCCGAGGGGTGGAGGGCCGGGCGTCGCCTCTCCTGGTCACTGTGGATGGCGGGGGCGCACCCCCAGCGGACCCCCACCCTCCCACGGAACCTTCCAGGAACCCGTACCCCCAGTCTCTCTCTTGTCCCGGGCCCCTCACCTCATCGCTTGCTCGGAAGAAGCTCTTGAACGTCCGGCTCAGGTTCTGCTCCAGCTCGGCCTCAGCCACTCCCTGCATAACGATTAAGGTGAAATGCAGGGCATGGGGCAGCCTGGACACTGATCCCCACCCCCCCCCCCCACACACACACACAGCCCCCGCCAGGTTTGGCCGAGGGCTGGGGAGACGCTGCTTGCCTGGGTTCGACCTGCAGCACCACTGCCTCCCCACCCCCGCAGTGAGGGGAAGCCTGGACCCCCGTGGTGTGTGGCCCCCGCCCGCCTCCATGGGGGAAACAACGTCTCCAAGGCAGGCAGCACCCACGTTCTCCCCGAACGTGCCACGAGCTGGCGCCCTTTGAATGCAGACTCTTGTCCTCCTCCTGCCTGGCAAGACCAAGTTCAGGGCAGATTCAGGATCTGTGGAGCCCCCTCCTCGCTATCCTCACCCTGTGGGGGTCAGGGACTCGGGCGGGGGAGGGGGAGGGAGGATGTTCTTTATGCTGGGTTTTGTTTATAAAGACTAACCCTCCTTCCAGGCTCCGCCTCCTCCTTCCCCATCTGATCATCCTCCCAAGCCCCCACCCCCAGCATGCCCCAACACCACCACAGCCTGGCTGGCGGGGGGTGGGGGGGTGGAGACACACCCCCTCATGATACTCAGGCACCAGCAAAGGGGGAGCTTGGGGGGTTGGGGGGCTGTCTCCTGCCTCTAGCATGTCACACGTGGGAACTTTCATGAACCCTTCGCGGGCTGGAGATAGGGCTGAGGCACTTCCTCTCAGGCAAACGACACACATCCATTTGCTCCCTGGCACCACCTGGGATCCCCGGAACCCCATCAGGAGTGATCTCTGAGTCAGCCTTGAGCAGGCACTGCTGGGTGTGACCCCCAAACTCCCCTCACCCTTCAAAAAGGCCTTCCTGCCTTTCACCTTCGGGCTAGCTCCATGATGCCCTCCCCACGGGCAGCCTCCTTCCATCCCTGGTTGGAGGTGTCCCGAACACCTCTGTGCCCTCCTGGGACCCCCATGGGTGGGGACAGTATCACTTCACCCCCCCCACCCCCGCTCTCATATACTGTAGTGCCTAGTCCAGGGACTGGGCGGAGCAGAGGCCGGAAGTGTCTTTGGAGAGTGGAGAGTCTCTTGGCAGGTCTAGGAAGAGCGCTGGTGGCCCAAGGGTCCCTGGGACCCTTCCTGTTCTGAGGCATGGGCGTGGGGTCTCAGTGCTGCAGCTCCCCTGGAAGTCATAGATCACTGCCCCGCTGGACGTCTGCACCCTGTTCCCGACAGCCTCCACAGCGAACAACTGCAACTGGGGACATCTGTAGGTTTCGATGATCGCAGAAAGTCGATCGTGGCTGTCTGCCTGCCTGATTGATGCCTCTGCAAGAAACGGCCTCACAAGCTGGAACTGGGCGGTGATGGATGCCCGGGAGCCTGCCCTCCCCTCGCCCTGGACCATTATCCTGATTTACTGCCCGCAGCTGCCGTCCCTCCAGCGCTGATGTCTGCAAGCTCAGGAGGTCATCCCGGGGGTCTGGTGGGGGGTCGGCTCTCAAGTGCTCCGTGGAACAGAGCGGGGTGGGGTGAGGGGGAACGGGGCTGTGGGGGCAGGACGAGGGGGGCGCTGGGTGACAAGAGCATCCTCCACTGAGGGCCGAGGCCTGAGCCCGTCCCAGTGCTGCCTGCAGGCAGAGGGCGGTCCTAGCACTCCGCTGTTTGCAGCCTGAGTGTGCATGGAGCCCGGGGTGGGCAAACACCCCAACTCAAGAGGGTCCCCCACAGAGCACGTGAGCAAGCAGGCCCCTGAGAGAGTGTGGCCCTTGTGAGCACCATCACACATGGGCCATCTCCAGTCCTCACAGCTGCAAAATGGGACAAGGGGAGAGACTGAAATAAGAATAATACAAAAGGGGCTGGACTAGAGTCTACTCTCAGCACGAGCACCCAAAAGGAGAGAGAGAACAAGGGGGAATGCCCTGCCACAGAGGCAGGGTGGGATAGGAGGGACAGGGGGGTGGGGTGGGAGGGATACTGGGATCAGTGGTGGTGGAGAATGGGCACTGGTGGAGGGATGGGTACTCGATCATTGTATAACTGAAACCCAAGCACAAAAAGTTGTAAGTCTACAACTGTACCTCTTGGTGTTTCACTAATAAAAATCTAAATTAAAAAAAGGGGGGGGCTGGAGCAATAGCACAGAGGGTAGGACATTTGCCTCGCACGTGGCCGACCTGGGTTTGATTCCCAGCATCCCATATGATCCCCCAAGCACTGCCAGGAGTAATTCCTGAGTGCAGAACCAGTAGTAACCCCTGAGCATTGCCAGGTGTGACCCAAAAATAAAAAAATTAAAAAAGAATAATACGAAATAGGCTGGAGAGATAGGACAGCGGGAAGGGTGTTTCCTTGCACTTGACGAACCCAGGTCCGATCCCCGGCATCCCAGAGGGTTCCCAGAGTGCCACCTGGAGTAATTCCTGAGTACAAAGGCAGGAATAAGCCCTGAGCACCAATGGGTGTGACCCAAAACAAATGGCAAAAAGAAAGATAGAATAGAAATACATTTTCACAATTTTCTTTATAAAGAGGGAGCAGGGAGCTAGCACTGGCATTAAGCCACTTGCCTTGCAGGTGACCAGCCTTGATTCGACCCCCAGCACTGCAAGGGTCCCTCAAGCACCACCAGGTGTGGCCCCTGAGAGATGGGAGTAGTGCCTGAGCACTGCTGGTGTTACCTCATGCCCCCCGGGGACCCCCACAGAGACTAAACGAAGGGTTCAGAATCAAAGAGAAGACAGCGGTTAACGGTTAACACGTGTACCCACTTCCCTGCGCCCTGGCTCCACAGAGAAGGAGGGCAAAGGTGAGGCCGGGAACGGGGGGGTCACACCTACCCTCTGCCGGGGGCACCCACTGCTGGGCTGTGACCTCGGAGAGGCGGCGGAGACTACTGCAAGTCGTCTGGCCGAGGATAGCTGGCCTGCTGGCCGGCGGTCAAGGACGGACTCAGAGTCCAGCAAACAGAGCGCCTGACATTTATTAACTGGCCGGTCTCATCCTGCGGCTCCTCACGGCGAAGAGGGCGGGTTTGCAAAAGATGGCTCGGCCAGCAGCCCCGGGGTCTGACCCTCTGCCAGGCATTGCTGGGGGCCTGGGGTCTGGTTCCCCGCTGCGTTTCTTTTCTGCTCCCTTTTGTTGGCTTTCTTTGATTGGGTTTTGTTGGGAGGCCACTCCCAGCCGTGCTCAGGACTGTCTCCTGGCTCTGTGCTCAGGGATCACTCCTGGAGGGGCTCCGGGGGCCATATCCAATGCTGGGGATAGAAATTGGGTTGGCTGGGGCCAGAGCGATAGTATAGCAGGTAAGGCTTCGCTCTACTGTTGCTGAACTCAGGTTTGGCCCGGGCATCCCCTCTGGCCCCTGAGTTTCTTCTTTTTTGGGGAGGTAGGAAGGGGGAACACTCCTGGCAGTGCTTAGAGAATGATACAGTGCTGGGGACTGAATCCCAGCTTTCTGCAAGCCAAGTGCTGGGCACCTCTGAGTTTCACAAGGACATGCAGGGGCAGCATCCAAGAGAAGACAGGGAGAGGAAAGGAAACAGAGAAGGAAAGGGCTGGGTGGTGCACGGGCTGGCACGTGTGGCATGCAGCAGGCCTTGGCATGCTCAGGTCCTGCATCGTCCCCCAGCCCGGCTCGGATGAGGCCAACTTTGCGTATAGGAGGCTGGGCTCGGGACATCACACCGAGTGCACCTGGGGTCAGACAAGACAGGAAGAAGGCAAGTGCCCTCCCTGCCGTACCAGTGTCCTGCTCCCCCAACCCTTTCCTGACCTTCTGTCCTCTCTGTGTTCCCCAGGGTACCCTGAGGCCTGGCTGAGCTCAGTGACCACAAGGACAGATGCTGCCAACTCCATCACCAAATTTGGTGAGGGCAGAAGTCCCAGGGCAGAGTCAAAGCAAAGATCCAGAACTCTGTGTGTGTGTGTATGTGTGTGTGTATGTGTGTGTATGTCTGTGTGTGTCTGTATATATCTGTGTGTATCTGTATCTGTGTATATTTGTGTCTGTTGTGCATGCATGTGTATTTGTGTGTCTGTGTCTGTATATCTCATTGTGTGTGTGTGTGCGTGTCTGTATCTGTGTGTCTATGTGAATGTGTCTGTATATATCTGCGTATGTGTGTCTGAGGGTGCATCTCTCCATGTGCATGTGTATGTACATCTGTGTTTGTGTCTGTGTATATCCGTGCATATATGTGTGTCTCTGTGTGTCCGTGCATATCTGTGTCTGTCTGTCTCTGTGTGCATGTGTATCTGTGTGTCTGTCTTCCCCCTCTTAGAAGAACTCGACATTTGGGATTCTCTGAAGCAGGGAATCTGAGTCCCAGAGCAAGAAGGTCACCTTAGAAAATCAAAGAGAGGAGCCTGGAGAATTCCTGGAATCTCAAGCCCCACACGCCCCCTCTGCTAAGGAAAGCCAGAAAGCCACACCCCCATCAGGCAGCCTGACCTCACTGTCCTTGGGGAGTTCTCATCACCATCCAGCCCATTGCTCCTCCCCCCACTCCCTTGTCCCTGGAAACCTCATTTGCCCGCCCCCTTACCATGGGGGTGGTCACCCCCACCCCTCCCTGGCCCACTGGCTCCCGTAAGCCCTCCCTGTCCTGCAATTTCCCTCTCTATGAGAATGAGCAGTTTCACCCACAGTGAAGGTCCTCTCCCTCCTTGCCCCACTGTCTGGGGTCCCTTGGGGCCCAGAGAACTTCTCAGGCTGTTTATATGCTCCCAACAGAGGCCCAGAGGTGGGGTCTCACGGCACAGGCAGCTGTTGACTTCTTGAGTTTTCCAAGACCAATTCCTGCTCCCTCCCACAGCACCTGAGCCTCCTGCCTTTTTTTTTTTTTTTAGGTGGTGGGTGTGCCCACCCAGCGATGCTCAGGGCTTACTCCTGGCTCTGCACTCAGGGGTTACTTGTGATGGGACTCACGGAACCATATGGGGGTGCTGGGGATTGAATCCAGGCCGGCCATGTTGCAGGGCAAGTAAGTGTTCTACCTACTACTATCCCCAGCCAGACCCTTGAGCGTCTGACCAAGTTCTTTTTTCTTTGATTTTGGGGTGGGGGGAAGATGGGGAGTGGTTTGGGGCCACACCTGGTGGTGCTCAGGGGCTACTCCTGGTTTCTGTTCCTGGGATGGAGGGAGGGGCTGCTCACAGTCACCCGGGTTTCCCATGGGTGGAGGCTGGTTGTGGTACCAGGGGATGGGGGGGAGTTGACGCCATCCAGAGCCGCCCTCTCCCCAGTTTCTCACTAAGGGGGGCCTCCAGAAGCAGCCTCACCCTTTTCACCTCTGTGGCCCCCACAGGTCTGTGTCCTGGGGTTGATGACTGAGTCTTGAGCCCTTTCCTGAGATGCAGAGGGGGAAAAAGTCACCTTCCAAAGCAGCTTCCCCCTCCCTGGTGGAGTCAGGTGGAAACAGCAAGCAGGTTGGGTGAGTGGTCCAAGGGCCCAGGAGACGGATCTCAGGCTGGAATTCATGGCCACCCCACCCCACAGAGCTGGGGGTCAGGACAGACAGGACACAGGGTGGACCAGGCCCTCACGGCTGACCCTGACAACCAGAGCGGCTCCTGTGGGCTGGTGAGCCTTGGGGCCCAGCATTCAGCCCTGAACCCACAGATGCACTGTGCCAACTCCAGCTAAGCCTGAAGCTACCCTGACACCCAACACAGGCCCCCAGACTCAGCAGGCCGCTAACCCGCTTCCAGAAAATAAATCACTCAGGGTCAGAGCAACAGGACAGTCAGGAGGGAGTTTGCCGACCCAGGTTCAATCCCCGGCATGCCACAGGATCCTCCCAAGCTATGTTCAGGATCAATTTCTGAGTGCAGGGCCATGAGAACCCTGACCATTGCCGGGTGTGGCCCAACAGAAAAAAAAAATCACTCAGTCCATGCCCAGAAATGAATTTTTTTTTGGGGGGTGGGTTTGGACCACACCTCACAGTGCTCCTGGCTGACTCCCAGTTCTGTGCTCAGGGGTCCCTCCTAGCAGGCTCAGGGACCAGGTGGCACCAGGGATAGAGTCCGGCTTGCTGTGTGCAGGGTAAGGGACCACTGCACTGGCTCTCTGCAGTCAGAAATCTGCCTTCTGAGCAGATAGGAAGTGCTCCCACCTCCAGGGCAGAGACCACAGGCTTCTACCTCTGTGAGGGCGCCAGCAGCCTTGAGGGGCAGATCACACATCTTAGAAAAGGCTCATGGAGATGACCCTTCTTCAGGTGAGGCAACTGAGGTCTGGAGGCAGCAAGTGACTTGCTCCCCACGGGCCCCAGGGCCTGTTCTGACCAGCTTGACAAGTCACCCCCTCTCCCTCCCTGCGGTGGGGGGCTGAGCAGGGCCGAGTCATTAACTTGAACATCTACCATTTCCCTGCCAAGACGCTTTGTCCTGAAGAGCAAAACTGCTCCCTGCAGCTCCTTGTGGATTGAGATCCAGCTGCAGGAACAATGGGATCACAGGAGGGCTGGCTCCCACCTCTGAAAGCCCAGAGCCCCACCAGGCTATGATTAGCTCCTGGGTCTGAAGGTCACTGTCGCAATCAGGCCTCTCTGGGCCTCGCCCCTCTCTGCGAGGGACACAGAATGATTAACTCCGCGCTCCCACACTGGGCCGTGGAGGGGGCACCCCGGCTCGGATCTGTGAGGCTGGTCAGCACTCCAGCCACACTGAGGTCTGTTTGCTCAGCGGATACGGGAAAGGGGCCAGGGGGCTGCTGGACACAGCTGCTGCAGCAGCCCAAGCTCTGGAACAGGGTGAAGGGCCGGAGAGTGAGCACAGTGGTTAGGGTGTGACCCTAAGAGTGTACAAACGTGCCTGGCCACCCAGCAAGGCCCACCCTGGTCGAATCCTGGAACCGAGGTGTCCCCCAAGCATCACTGGGTACAGCTTTGAAGGCCCACCCCCCACCCAGCACCATGGGGTATGGCTGTGGAGAGCCCCAGCACTGCAGGGCCTGAATGAGCCGTGCCATGAACTCAGGTCCCTCCCTGCACTGCATCACCAGCAGCAGCTGTTGGCGGGAGAGGCATACCCCAAAGATCCGAGGCTGGAGTTGTACCAGCTAAGGGACCCCGGGAAATGGAGGAATCGTCTCTGGCCTTGCAAAGGAGCAAAGGGAGGAAGCCATGGGTGTTACGCAGGCCACAGGAGCACAAAACACTGATCTCACGCACAGCCCGGGCCCAGGCCCCAGAGGCAGAGCAGGCCGGTGGCCATGGCGGGGGCAGGGCACTCCTTGCTTGCTTCGGGAGAGTCTGCCTGGGACCATGGTCAGAGGTGAGGGACTGGGAGACAGACAACCCAGCAATGCAGTCCTGCTCCCGGGTGACCGGCCCAGCCACTGTACACACACGTCCTCCACAGTCTCTGCACACAGCCACCACACACAGTTACCACCCACAGCCCCTGCATGACCGCCATCCACATCACCACCCATAGCTACTGCACACAATCACTACAGACAGCCACCGTACACGGCTGCTCTAACATGACCACTGTACAACAACGGCACACAGCCTGCACACACGGAGCCACACATAACAACTGCACACAACCACCAGACACAGCCACTGCTGCACACAGCTGCGATTCACAGCCGCCACACACAACCACTGCACACAACCGCTACACACAGCCACTCCACACATCTGCTCTAACATGACCACCCTACACAGTCACCAAACACACAGTGCCATGCAGAGCACACTCTCACCATCACCCTTGCCCACAGCCACCACAGCCGCTACATGCAGGCGTGACACACTGTCGCCACATACAACCGCCTCACACAACCACTATGCACAGTCACTGCATACAACCGCCACACTCACAGCACACTGCTGCCACACACAGCCCACACAACATCTGGAAAGTCAGTGTCGACAAAGGCCCTGCGCCATGAGGGGACAGGGTGTAACCAAACCTTGGGCACAAGGACAGGGGTGGGGTGGGGAGCAGAATGAATCCGTTCTGGGACTCTGGGCCTGGCCCGACTCACCGGCTCCTGGAAGTAGAGTTGATAATCAAACACGGGGTTGGCCTTGATCTTCTCCAGGGGGTTCACATCAGGGTGTGCTGGCAGGAAGGGGGTATTCAGACTGGCCACCGCACTGAGGAGGAAGGACGCAAGGGTCAGGCCCTGTAGCAACCATCCGGGCCACTGAGACAGGAGGACAGGCCTGAGGGAAACGGCCCTGGGGAAGGCCATAAGGGACAGTGATGTGCCACTGAACATGCCCAGGGAAAGCGTGTCCTGTGCCAAACTCAGTCGCTGCCAGCAGAATGCCAAGAGGTGTCCTCCCTGGACACCCCACTTGTTTCCAAGATGTGTGCTGGGGTTCGAGCACTGAGGACTGAGTCTCATGGGCGTCCCTGGAGCTTACCCCAGTCCTGGAGGCCGGGGTGTCCGTACCTCACTCTCTCGGGGTAGAAGAGGGCCATCATCCATACCAGCATGCCCCCCCAGTCGTGGCCGATGAACGCCGCCTGGGGAAGGCCCTGGAGAACGGGGGGGGGGGGGGGGAACACAGTGTGGGACTTGGTGGGAGGGGCTTCCCAGGGGCCAGTGACCACCCACCGCCTGGGAGCCCTGCCCACCTGCTAGCCCCCTCTGCTCCCTGAGTTTCTTAGTAGCAGGAGCTGTCTCTCATGTTTGTTTTTTAAAAAAATTTTATTAGTGAAACACCATGAGGTACAGTTGTAGACTTATAAATTTTTGTGCTTGGGTTTCAGTTATACAATGATCGAACAACGATCCCTCCACCAGTGCCCATTCTCCACCACCACTGATTCCAGTATCCCTCCCAACCCCCATCCCCCCATCCCCCCAGTATCCCCCCATCACCCCCATCCCACCCTGCCTCTGTGGCAGGGCATTCCCTTTTGTTCTCTCTCTCCTGTTGTGTGTTGTGGTTTGCAAAAGAGGCATTGAGTGGCAATCATGTTTGGTCTATAGTCTACTCTCATCACACATCTCCCATCCTGGGAGGATCCTCCCAAAACCCTTTATTTGGTGCTCCCTTCTCTATCTGAGCTCCCTTTCCCCCTAGAGTGTGCGGCTGGCCTCCAAGCCATGGAGTGAACCTCCTGGTACTTATCTCGGCTATTCTTGTGTCCCTCATGTTTAATCACTGTACACAGTGTGGTCAGGCAGTGCTGGCCTGACACTGGGTGACCAGGCCTGGCCCCCATGCTCATGAGGGGGACCCTCCCTTCCCCCTAAATGAGCCTCGGGGGCACCATGGCCCCCTGCACCTCCCATGCAGCCTCCTCTCTCCTGCGTTGCCAACAGGCCCTGTGCCAGGGAGCCCCCAGTTAAGGCCCTAGGGGACGGGCATGTGGCCAGGCAGGCTCTGGGGTGGCCACGGGCTCCTGTCCACTTTCCACATGCTGTTCTCTGAGGGCTGCAGATTTGGGGGGAGGCATCAGGGTTTTTCAGGCCCTTTCCGACTGTGGTCCACATCTGAGTCGCTCATCTTCCACCTGCCTCCCTGGTCCCTCCCGGCCACCCCCCACTGATGGAGCCGGTGTGGGGGGGTGGCACAGGGTTGTGCCCTGGGATCCCCCGGCCCAGGAACTCACCAGCCGATCCAGGAAGGTCACCATGTCCTAGGAGAGAAGCACAGTCAGAATAGGTCCCCCCTCCCCGAGGTGCCAGTGGGCAAGGCGCTGGGCATCTGTGCCAGCCTGTGGGGGTGGGCGGCCACCTCTGCCCGCGCCTGCTGAAGGTGGGAATTGCTTGGGGCATCTCAGCGGCCCTGTGCTGTGGAGACCCCGACCTTGGCTTCCAGGTGGCTCTGGGGGAGGGGCCTCACCGCCCACCGGCCCTGGCGAGGACACCCCCGAGCCCCGGTCCCCCCCAAGACACGGCATCCTTCCCACTGACCTGCCGCCCAAGGTCACCTGGAGTCAGAGTCCAGGTGGTTAGACTGGATCACGCACAGAATGAGTCAGAAGGGGGACCCGGGGGACCAAGCAGATGTGCAGAGGACAGGCCAGAGCTGAGGGGCCAGCCGCACCCCTGCAGAGATGCCGGCTCCAGGCTCCCAGCCCAGCTCCCCCCACCATGGTCCCCTGCCCCTGAGGTCCCCATGGCCAGCAGAGGGGCCTGTGGGGGGTAAACAGAGCTGCATTTAGGGGCCACCAGCCCTGCAGCCAGCACCCCTCCCCCCCACCACACACCCACATCTGCCAGCTCTGCTCCTCCATTTGAACAGAGGCCTGCATCCACTCCACAGGCCAGGAAACAAGAGGCTCAGAGAGGTTAAACTGAGTGGTTGGAGTCACACAGCTAGAACGGGCACTGAGCCCAAGGTGCCCTCTAAACTTCAACATCCTGGTCCCTCACAGTGGAGGCCAATGACTTTAATTTCCACCTTGCAGCCCCCCGCACTGGCGCCTCGAACTCCCCATGGAGAAGTAACCCCCACCCTGGCATCGGGACTCTGCCTACATGCCCTGGCTGAGGTCAGACTGCAGAGAAGCTTGGGGCTGGGGGTGGGGTTGAGGCTTTGCCTGTAGGAGCCCCAGGTTGGACCCCCTGGCACCGTGCGGTCCTCTGAGCACCACTGCGAGAGCAGAGTCGGGGGTGTCCCCCAAGCACTGCTGGGTGTGCACCCGACACTTCTCCTACCCCTGAAGACTGAGAAACAGCTGGGGCTGCCCGGCTCACGGCGCTGGTAGTGGCTCCCGACCCCAGGCCTCTCCCTCCCGTCTCTGTGCCACACGTGTCTGTTGGGGGACCGTGGGCTGTGCTCCCACCCGGCTCTCGGGCCCAGGAATCTGCATTGTGAGGGTTGCAGGGAAATGCACCTTCTGGCCAGCGTGAGCTCACCTCCCCCAGCGCTGGGATCTGGGCCTCCGTCCCCCTCAGCCTGAACCTCCGAGGGGCCAGCACTGAGCAGGAACCCACCCAACACTCACTCAAGAACAGACACACGTCAGCTGCCCCTTCCCAACACCCCCTCTCCCCACCCCTAAGGTGGGTTCAGGCAGCACCATCTTGAACAAAATGATCATTGTTTTGGGTTCCCGGGGTTAACCTGCTGGTCCTGGGGATCGAACGCAGAGTCATGGCAGGCATAGTCTGTGTTCCGCCTTTGGGCCCAGTTCCCAGACCCCTGGAAACAATTCCCCGTAGGGGGTCGGAGTAAAATCACGGCGGGGAGGGCATTTGCCCTGCATGTGCCTGACCCAGGTTCAATCCCCGGCACCCCATGTGGTCCCCCAAGCCCACCAGGAGTGATCACTTAAGCATAGCACCAGGAGTAAGTTCTGAGCACTATGGGTATGACCGCCCCCCCCCCCCCTCAACAAATGAACAAAAACACCAGCCAAACAATTCTGTGTCATCAGGGTAGAGAGTTACAGCAAGAAGGAAGGACGTGGGGGTTGGGGTTGGGGTTGGGCCAGACACTGAGTTACAGGGGGGCTTGCTTTGCCCCCCTGTAACTCAGTTTCTTCTCTGCCAAGTGTTGGGCACAGTCCCTGGTGTGCAGAGAACGTGACTCTGCACCTCGCTATGAGACTTAGACTGAAGTTGCTTTCCTGGGCCCCAGGTGCCGTCCGTGAGCACAGTCTTACCTCACACAGCACTTGCATGGAATATTCTTCTATTTCTGCAACACACAAAAAGTACAAGATTAGAAGATCTGCCCCTTCAAACAGAGCAGCTGCCTCTGCACCCCCCCAACCCCCCAAACCACCCCAGTTCCCTCTCGTGGAGCTCTCGGACTGCTGGAGGCACCTGCTTGTTTGCGGTTTTGTTCCCTGTGCTTCGGGTGTGGGAAGTCATTGCTGGGACCAATGGCATGAAGCGTGTCCCAATGTTTGCTTCCAGGGGGTTTAATTTCAGAGTTTACATGGGAGGCAGTGTGTGTGTGTGTGTGTGTGTGTGTGAGAGAGAGAGAGAGAGAGACATACACACACAGAGACAGAGACAGACAGAGACAGAGAGAGAAACAAAGAGAGACAGAGAGAGACACACACAGAGACAAAGAGACAGAAAGACAGAGAGAGACACACAAACAGAAAGAGACAGAAAGAAACAAAGAGAGACAGAGAGAGACCAAGAGACAGAGAGAGGCAAAGAGAGAGACAGAGACAGAGAGCGGTTTTATATTTGGGGCATTAATCCTGTGTTTGTGTGTTCATGTGTGTGTGTGTGTGTGTGTGTGTGCATGTGCGTGCATGTGTGTGTGTGTGTGTGTGTTGCTCAGGACACACTCCTGGCTCTGTACTCGGAGGTCACTCCTGGCAGTACTCCATAGACGTTGGCAGTGCCGGGATCCCACCGGGGTCTCACCTCTGGCCCCAGATATTATTGTTTAATGGGGGCAGAGTGTGGATTTGGGATGTGGGGATATTTTCAGAGACAGAGGGTCCATCTGTCCTTTCCACCACCACAGGGAGTCCCCTATGTGTCGACTGATGATGCTTGCCATGTGTGGGCAGGGGCCATTGTGCAGGAGGCAGGTGTCGGGAGCCCTGGGGGTCCTGACACAGGAGGGCAGAGCTGAGAGCGGGGACAGATGGAGGCTCTTGGAGTGGCCGTCACTCACCCGGTGGGGCTGATGAGTCTCCATAGCCCTTCATGTCCACAGCCAGTACTCGGAAGCCCGCCTGCGCCAGAGCAGGAATCTGGAAAACAAACAATCAACTGGGCACTCGCCAATGCCCTCAGCCTTTCTCCATCCCCAGGTGGTGTACTGGGAACAGGTGTGCAGGATAGGACCACCAGGGACGGTAGGGCAGGTCGCACACTGCACTAAGGCCTTCTGCCAGCCTCCTCCCGGAGCCTGTCTTCAGCACCAAGATTTCCTGGCTGGGCCAGCGCAATGGTCCAGCAGGCAGGGCACTTTCCCTGTATACGGCTAACATGGGTTTGATCCCAGGTACCCACTATGGTCCCTGGAGGCACCTCTGGAGAGATCCCTGAGTGCAGAGCCAAGAGTAAGCCCTGAGCACTGCCAGGGGTGCCCCCCAAAACAAAAAATAAACCCAAACAAAACAGAACAAAAATACACAACAATTTCCCGGCAGGTGGCAGGCAGCCGCAGCTTCGAGACACCAGACTTTCTCTCTGTTGGCAAGGTGGGTTCTCAGCCCTGAGCTCAGTGCTCTCCTGCCCAGCGTCCTCGGAGTCGGGGTCAACCTTGGGGGACAGCGCCCTCCGAGTAGGGTCTGCTTCTTTCTCTTTACTGGGGGAGGTGGGCAGTGTTTGGGCCACACCTCACAGTGCTCGGGGATACTCCCAAGCCAGTGTTCACAGGTAATGCCTGGCAGTGCTCCAGGATCCTTGGAGTACCAGAGATTGTACTGGGCCTCTTGTCTGCAAAGTTTGTGCTCAGAACTTTGAACTGTCTCCCTGGTGTGGTTTAACCTTCTTTTAGGGAGGCTGATCTTGGGACCCTACCTGGAGGTGCTCAGGGGTTACTCCAGTCTCTGTGCTCACGTAGCCTGGTGGTGCTCGGGGGACCATAGGGAGTGCCGGGGATCAAACCCAGGTAATTCACATGAAAGGCCAGTGCTCTATTTTCTCTATTCCCAGTGCTCTCTTCCAGTACTCTCCCCCTGAACTCTCTCCCCAGTGCTCTCCCTGGCCCCAGTGCTCTCTCCCCAGTGCTCTCTCCGGCCCCCCATTTATTCAGAACTACAGTGCATGCTCTCCTTCCCTTCGCGAGGGCATCAGTCCCGCCACTCACCTGGTACCTCCAGGAGAACCAGCTCTCAGGAAACCCGTGGCAGAGGCACACCGGGGGCCCAGACCCCATCTCCACGAAGTGCAGGCTCACTCCAGGCTGCAGAGGAGACAGGTTCCACCAGGTCAGCCCAGCCGAGCCCCAGCTCTGGGCCGCCCCGCCGGGGCTCTGGGACGGCGAGGGACTCAGGAGAGAGTAGCTCTGCCCTAGCCCAGGCCTGACCGCGGGCACCGAGTGGGTGTCTCCCACTGCTGCCCTCACTCGAGCTGTGGAGAAGGGGAGGCCCTGTTCCTCATCGTCCTCAGAGGAGGCCCAGGCAATGGGTCTGAGGGAATAAATGCTCACAAGGTCACTAGAGAACAGCATTCTCTCCAGAACACAGGTCCCTCTCACTCTCTCTCACACATGCAGTTACTCTGTCAGTCACACATTCATACACAGATCAAACACACACTAGGGTCATTTTCGCACACACGCATTCTCATCACAGATAGTCATGCACACACAGTCACTCAAACACAGTTACTCAGTCACACAGTCACACATATCACTCACACACTTGGTCACTCACACAGTCTCTCACATACACCCTCACAGTCACTCTCACAGTCACATAAAATCACTCAGACACAGCCACTCACACATAGTCACTCAGACACAGTCGCTCACGTGGTCACTCAGACACTCAGTTGCTCACACACTCATACACGTCACTCACATACAGTCGCTCACATATAGTCGCTCAGTTACTCAGACACAGTTGCTCACAAAGACACTCTGTCACATACAGTTGCTCACATACAGTCAGACACAATCACTCCCATAGACAGTCACTCAGACACAGTCACTCACATAGTCAGACATACTTACACAGACAGTCCCTCAGATAGTAGTTCACATACAGTCAGACACACTCACATATAGTCACTCAGAAACAGTGGCTCACACAGACAGGCACTCAGCCACTTACATACAATCGCTCACATACAGTCACTCAGACACTCAGATAGTTGCTTACACACTCACACACAGTCACTCACATACAGCGGCTCACATGCAGTCAGACACTGTCACTCACATACAGCGGCTCACATGCAGTCAGACACTATCACTCACATAGACAGTCACTCAGACAGTCACTAACATACAGACACACTCACGTACAATCACTCAGGCACAGTGGTTCACATACAATCAGACACAGTCACTCACATATAGTCACTCAGAGAGAGTGGCTCATGCAGACTGACAGTCTCACATACAGTCACTCTCTCAGACACACTTACACACCTGTCATCCCAGTCGGCTGTCCTGCCACCCTGTCCTATCCCAGCCATCTGGCCCCTTCCCCCGGAGAGACACACCTACTCCATGCCTGGGAAGGGCCCACCTACCTTGATGGGCACGTAGCCATGGCTCACGTCACTGGGCTGGCAAGGGGGTGGCAGGGGGGCAGCTGTGTGCAGGAGCTGGAAAGAGGGGGCGCTCGTTAGATGCACCTGGGCCTGCTCCCAGTTCTCCATAAAGGGGTCCCACCCCGGGAGAGCAGAGCCCACCCTCTCCCCACTCCTTTCCTTTATCCAGCTGTGGGTGCCCTCAGAGTCTCAGGCAGGAAGATGGGGGGTCCCATCGCCCTGGCCCCTGATCAGGTTGACACACGGAAGCCAGAGCTCACCCCACGGGCTCAGACTTGGCCACGCTGCTCCCCTTCCTAGTGCCCCGGCACCCGGATGGAAGCTCCCAGGGTCCCTCACCAATGACCCCTCAAGGGCGGTCCTCCTCTGTGGCCCCAACCTCCCCGCACTTGGTCAGGGGCCCCACAAGCAGCACAGAGGGGGGGACAGTGTCCCACAGAGGGAGGGCGGCCACAGGTGGGGATGCGAGCAGAGTCTGGGCCGCCTCTGCAGAAGCTGCCACAGCTGTGTGTGTGTCTGTGTGTGACTGTGTATATCTGTGTGTGTGTCTCTCTGTGTCTGTGTGTGTGTGTCTCTCTCTGCATGTACTCATACCTCTGCACGGGGGTGTGTATGTGTGTGTGTGTGTGTGTGTGTGTGTGTGAACCCCTCCTTCAAAGGGCAGTCATCAAACCTTAGCAATGGTACTTCCTCACCTCCAAGATTTCCTCTAAACACAACTCCTGAGGCCAGGGCAAGTGAGAGAAAGTGTCTCCTGGGGCTCACAGGGAGAGATGTGGGCAGGAACTAGACCCCCAGACCCTGCCACCTCAGGGTAATGAGGAATATTCCAGACCCAAGGCCCCTCAGGGGATCCTCAAAGGACAGGTGTGGTTGGTCTCCCCCAGGCAGAGATGACAAAGGACAATGCTGAGCCCACAGGGAGTTCCCAGAGAGAGATGGGGGTGGCCCCAACACAGGAATGACCCCAACACGGGAGTGACCCCAACATGGGAGAGACCTCAACATGGGAGTGACCCCCAACACGGAACTGACCCCCATCATGGGAGTGACCCCAACACAGGAGTGACCCCCAACATGGAAGTGACTCTGACATGAGAGTGACCCCCAATACAGGAGTGACCCTGACATGGGAGTGACCCCCAACATAGGACTGACCCCTGACATGGGAATGACTCCGGACATGGGACTGACCTCTGGTATAGGAGTGATCCCCAATCTGTGAGAGCGACCGATCATCTATGGTCCCGAAGGTGCCAGGGATGAACTGGGGTCAGCTGTGTGCAAGGCAAGTGCCCCCCGCATGCTCCCTCTCCGCACATACTCATACCTCTGCACACGCATACTTGCCTCTCTGCACACACACGCATGCACGCACGCACACACACGTGCAGAAGGTCACCTGCAGCCCCGTGAGAGCCTCCAGCTCCTTCAGCACAGAGTCTGTGTCACGGGCGAGGATGGTGGCCATTCCCAGGTCGCGGGCCGGCTGCAGGTTGAGCTCCATATCATCCAGGAACACGACCTGAACCCAGATTGTTGGCATGTCAGCTACAGCAGGCTCATGCGGGTGTGCATTACAATGCCAGTGGTGGTAGTTTCGGGTGCTGCAATTAAGGACTATTTCTCCCCCCATGGGGCTGTCTGCTTTCATTGTTTTGGGGCCACACCTAGCGATGCACAGGGATTACTCCTGGCTCAGTGCTCAGAAATCACTCCTGCTAATGCTCGGGACCATATGGGATGCCGGGAATGAAACTGGGTGGGCTGCGTGCAAAGCAAACACCCTCCCCTCTGTGCGTCACTCTGGCCGGGGGCTGATCACGGTTAGCAATGCAGAATGAGCACGTGCAGGAAACTGCTTGAACTGCATGCCTAGAAAAGATGGGGCTTGGCCAGGTTGGTGCTGCGGAGGGGTTAGTCCTTCTCTGAGCTCAGGTGAACCCCAGTCATTGTGGAGGGGTGTTCTGGGACCCACAGGGACAGCCGGGAACAACAACCAGGACCTGTGGCTTCCAAGGACACGCCTTGACCCCTGGTGCCATCTCTCTGACCCCAAGAGGATGCTCTGGTAGTGTTAGGAGGAAGATTTATATCTTTATATGAGTTTGGAACGGATCAAATACGAACATTTTAGTGATTTCTTTTGATTTGGGCTGGAGGTGGGGTTCCCGGCCAGCAGTGGTCAGGGATCACTCCTGATGAGCATCACAGGACCTCACGTGGTGCTGGGGATGGAACCTGCGTCAGCTGCGTGTGAGGGGAGAACGCTTCCCATATGGTCTCTCTCCGGCCCCTCAGACTGACATCTGGGAAGAGCCGGAAGATTTGGGAAGAGGCTGCGAGCTCAGAGCACGTCGAAGCATCGAGATACTGACTTACTGATTTCATCGTTTGGGTTTTGGGACCACCTGCCTGGCAGTACTCAGGGCTTCCTCCTGACTCTGTGCTCAGAGCTCACACCCAGTAGGGTTTGGAGGGCCAGACGAGATGCAGGTGATGAAGCCCAGGTCGTGTGCATGCAGAGCAAATGCCTTCCCGCATGCCCTCTCTCAGCCCAGACACCGACTCCCAAGCCCACGGGGACAGCAAACTCCAGCTGAGGACCAGCACAGGACGCTGTTGGGCAGTTTTGGATTCACTCGTTTGCTTTATTGTTTTGGGGGCCACATCCTGTAGAACCCAGAGTGGATTTCTGGCTCCATGCTCACTCCTGAATCTCTCCTGGCAGTGCTGAGGGCGGGGCGGTCACAGGTGGGGTCCACCACGGAGCGGGGTCAGCTGCACACAAGGCCAGCATCTTCCCTGCTGTTCCCTCTAGCCCTGTTTGTCTCTGTCCATGACAACAGGAGCAGTTGGTCCAGCAGCGCTCAACAGACCCACTGACCAGCACGCGGCCACTGAGATGCCCACCTGTGCCGGAGCTATCCAGGGTCATGGGAGCCATCAGGTACCTGATGGGGAACTCGGTGTCTCAAGGGGGAGGGACTGCTGGGCCCGCTATTTCCGTGCACGGTCACCCCCTCCTTGGGGCTGGCCTTCAGGGGCACGGTCCCTCCTCGTTGGGGCTGGCCTTCAGGGCCCTGGTTCCCTACCTCCTTGGGGCTGGCCTTCACACGGTCCAGCAGGAGTTTGTAGATCTGCGGCTGTGGCTTGATCAAGCCCACCTGGCAGGACTCCACGAACACGTCAAAGTGAGGCCGCAGTTCACACATCAGCTGGGCCAGGCCACCCCGCTGGGGGCTGTCGTCCAGCCAGTTGTTGGTGAGGACGCCGGTGACAAAGCCTGTTGGGAAAGAGGCTGCTCGCCTTGGCCCAGCATGGGGACCTCACATCCCAGACCCCCGCATCCCACATCCCGGGGGTCATGTGAGGGAGAGAGTCAGTGTGACCCAGAGCCCCCCCTGAGTCACTCCCAGGGGCACCCTTGCCTCTTTGTTGTTTATTTTGTTTGTTTGTTTGTTTGTTTTCTTTTTGGGTCACACCCAGCGATATACAGGGGTTACTCCTGGCTCTGCACTCAGGAATTACCCCTGGAAGTGCTCAGGATACCGTATGGGATGCTGGGAATCAAACCCGGGTTGGCCACGTGTAAGGCAAATACCCTACCCGCTGTGCTATCAATCTAGCCCCTTGTTTATTTGGTGCTCCCCGAGTGATGCTCAGGGGCCAATCCTGGTTTTGTGCTCAGGGGTCACTCCGGGGCTCAGTCCCTAGCACCACACGATCCACTGCCCACCTGCAGGTGTGGCCCAGAAATATACATGGGGGAAACAAAAGAGGATTTCCAGAGGAACAACACAGGGGCTGTGTGTGCCTTCCTGGTCTCGAGTTCAAATCCCTGGAATCCCACATGTGACCAGAAGTCTTGGCAGCGCTGCTGTGACCCCTGGTGCCGCCCAGGGTGCACATTCTGGTGAGCTCCACAGTCAGAGGGGGTGTGAGCTATGTGGCAGGGAGCACCCTGACCACACTCATGGGCCTCTACTCAGAATGTCCACTTGGAGTGTTTGTCCCAGGGCGCAGCACATAGGAGGGTGAGGCTTGGTGAGCACTGTGGCCCAGAACACTGTGAACGAGACGGACCCAGGGCGTCTGACACAGCCGGGGCCCAGGGGAGCCCCCGAGGGGGACGGGCCATGCTGACCTCTTACCCTTCTTCCTGAGCGCCAGCGCAGCCTGCAGCATGCGGGGGTTGACCGTCCTCCCGGAAATGGCTTCGGCCACCACGTGGCTGACAGAGGCGTCCCCAGGGGGGCTGATGCTGGATTTCTGGTAATATTTCTGACAGGCATCCTCCAGGATGAGCACCCACTGTCAGGACAGGTACCATCTCTACTCAGGATGGGGGGTGCGAGTCTGTGGGGTCCCACACGAGGAGCCCACTGAGACAACTGTGCCAGTGTCCATGGCTGCATGGCTTGTCCAGGCCCTCCAGGCGGTGAGGGAAGACCAGAACCCCTCTCATGGGGCGAGAATCTGCCTTTCTTTTGGGGGTGGGCACAGCCCATACCTGGCTCTGCACTCAGGAATTTCTCCTGGCAGGGCTGGGGGACCCTATGGGATGCCGGGGACCAAACCCAGGTCAGCCACGTGCAATGCCAGCACCCTCCCCGATGTCCTATCATCCAGCCCATGACCGGGCTGGCTCTGAGAGGACGCAGACACACACACACTGAGGGACGCGGGGAGAAGGCAGTGCCCACACACCGGGGCCAAAGGCCTCAAGGACACCGGCACACCTCAGGCTTCCAGGGTCCAGAAGGGGTGGTGTCCAGGGTGGAAACCGCCTGTCGGGGACCTTTGCTGCTGCAGCCCCAGCAAACCGACTGCCAGTGGCCACACGGGCTGGGACAGTTACTGGAAAAGTCCCAAGTAAAGTCTGAGAGATAGCATAGTGGGGATACACTGCATGCAGAAATGGGGTACACCCAAAGTCATTCCAGCTGCCGGCTCCTGTGTGTGTGTGTGTGTGTGTGTGTGTGTGTGTGTGTGTGTGTGTGTCCTCGGGCAACAGGCACAGCCCTGCCCCTGGACACTTGCAGTGTGTGTGTGTGTGTGTGTGTGTGTGTGTTCCCTTGGGCAGTAGAAACAGCCCTTCCCCTGGACACTTGCAGTGTGTGTGTGTGTGTGTGTGTGTGTGTGTGTGTGTGTGTCCCCTCGGGCAGCAGACACAGACACTCACAGTCCATGCCAAGCGGGGGTCCTCCTTAACCCCTTACCTGGGAAAACGTGATCTCACCCCTCAGCAGGCGGGCACCGGAGCCGGAAAGGCCTCCACTCAGGAACACTTCAACCAGGAAGCCCCTGTGACACCAAGCCACTGCATCACCCAGGCTCCCCAGATGACACTGAGGCAAAGCCTGGGGGCCAGCATGAGAGTCCGGCTGGGAACTTGCCACGCAACCTCAGCCATTCCCTCTGCTCCTCGAGGGGGCCGCAGGGTGAATTCCTTACTGGGGGGCTTCCAGCTCTGATGGCAGAATCCAGCTGGACATGGGGTCCTCCCCACCCTTAGTTCACCCTCCCCCATGGACAACTTATTCATATTCTAATGGTTTGGGGCCCACACCAGGCAGTGCTCAGGGGCTACTGCACAGGGCTCTGTGCTCAGGAGAGCCCCCTGGTGGCCTCCCAGGACCCTACGTGTGGTGTCAGGGACTTGGGGATTTGAACCAGGTGCCACTTACTCCTGTACCATCTCTCCTGGCCTGGTCTGGTCTTTAATAGTTGTATAGAGTTACGACTAGAGAACATCCGTGCCCTTAAGCGTATAATCTGGTGACAAGCAGGCAGGATGAAAGTCTGGAGGGTCTTGGGACAGAGAAGCTGGGGTTCATCACTGTTTTACTGGAGCCCCAGGGGCCCATCCAGGCAATTCTTGGCCAATTGGTTTGGAAGCTCAACGCCAGGGAGTGAGGATGCCGCTCAGACACGGCCATGCTGCGGACGACCCAGGACACCCTGGTGGTGACTGGACATGGGGAGGGGCTCCAGCGCCACACCCGGGGATGCTTGGGGACCCTGGGTTCCCAGGATTGAATCCAGGTCTCTGCATTTAGGAAACTCCCAGGAGACCAGGGAACAGTGTGAGGACAAACAGCGAGAGGGAGCACTGTACATGGGCGCAGTGACAGGGCGGGTATGGGGCAAGGTACTGCAGAACAGGAGGGAGGAGGGAGAGTGGGAGCTGGGGTGGAGGAAGGAGATGCCGACTGCCATGAGACAAAGCAGGCGGCTATAGCAATGCAGGTGACCATAGACCCCGCACCAGGCTATTTCACTTGGGGTGCCCTGGGGGGGGTGCGGGTGAGGCCCCGCCCCACCCCAAGGGACCAGCCCTGGCAGCCAAAAACCTCCAGAACTCAACTGCCACCACACTCTCAGCCACTCTTCACATGCTTGGGTAGAGCACTACCCACCAGTGAAGCTATTCTGGGACCATGCAGCCACATTCGTGGCCGCAAATGCTTCAAAACACACACCCTACCCACACTGCAAGAGTACCACACCACATTTGATAGGCTTCAAGGTAGGAGGCAACCAATCTTAGAGAGAAATATACATTTTTTCACATACATATGCATATATACACACATATATATGCATATATATACATATATATATAAAGCACACAAGGCTCAATCTTTAACAACATGTTAGTGATTTCTTATAGAAGGGCTTAATGACCCCTGGGTGAAATACAACAATCTCCACACACTCCTTCCTCTAAGGATACTTTTTCGTAGCATTTTCTGCAGTTTTTCATAACAATACAAAATATATTATTTTGGTTCTGCTTTGGGGCAGGGATTTGGGTTTGGGATGGAAATATACGAAATATGGTGGTGGGGAGGCTGGAGCTATAGTACAGGGTGTAGGGAGTTTGCCTTGCATGCGGCTGACCCAGGTTCGATTCCTAGCATCCCATATGGTCCCCCGAGCACCGCCAGGAGTAATTCCTGAGTGCAAAGCCAGGAGTAACCCCTGTGCATCACCGGGTGTGACCCCCCCACACACAAAAAAAAGCAAAAAAATGTATATATATATATATATATATATATATATATATATGGTGGTGGGAAAGTGTAATGCTGGTGGGATTGGTATTTGAATATTAAATGTATGAAATATTGTGAACTGAGCGATAGCACAGCGGGTAGGGCGTTCGCCTTACAAGCGGCCAACATGGCTGACCCGAGTTCGATTCCTCCGCCCCTCTCGGAGAGCCCGGCAAGCTACCGAGAGTATTCGATATGCCAGACACAGTAACAACAAAGTCTCCAATGGAGACGTTACTGGGCCCGCTCGAGCAAATCGACGATCAACGGGAGGGCCTTTACCTTTACCTTTACCTTTACTTTATAAAATTAAAAAATTTTAAAAACAGCAATGCAGGTGACAATAATAAGCTGTTTGAGATGAGGAGAGCCTTGATGGAATTCCACCCGCCAAGGATGGGGCCAGGAAACAGCAGGTTCAGAGGCAAGCTCACTGTAAACCAGACACATAACTTTGTGCCAATCGGGAGGCATTCAGACACATTCCTACAGGGCCCTGGAGGGCAAGATCAGAGCATCAGGGATCAGAGATACACAGAAAGGACTGAGTCCTTCTGCAGGAAGCTAGGCCATCTCACAGTGTCTGAGAAGGCCAGCCCGGACGGGGTCTCCAGGAGGCATGGACATAGGTGGAAACTACGCCTGTGCATCCGTTTGCACTTCTTAGCTGTGCATTTTGGGACCATTTCTCGTTCTTCCTTTGATAATGGTCTATTTTCGCCATTTGCTTTCTCCTTGATTAGAACTCTTGATTTCTACCTTCAGGGTATTCTCATACCTGGTGGGACTTAGGGCTTACTCCTGACTCTGTGCTCAGGGATCACTCCTCGCAGTGCTCAGGGAACTATGTGTGGTGCTGGAGATAGAACCCAAGGCAGCTTCATGCAAGGCAAAATGCCCTCCCCACTCTACCATCTCTCCTATTTATTTCATTTTCATTTCATTTCATCATCCTGTTATTCGTCGATTGCCTCGAGCAGGCCCCAGTAACGTCTCTTTCATCCTAGCCCTGAGATTATATTCAAGGCTCTTTAGGAGAATGAGACCCATCATTGTTACTGGTATTTGGCATATTGGGTACGCCACGGGGAGTTTGCCAGACTCTGCCCTGTGGGCAGGCTACATTCGATACCCTGCAAGTTTCTCCTATTCATCCCCTTCTTTCTCCTTTCTTTGAGTCGATCAACATTTCTTTTTTCCTTTTCCCCTGGATGAGATGTTTTGCTTCAAGTCTTCTAGTACTCTGTTTCTAGCCACCTCCAGATTATGGGTTCACGATACATAGTATCCTGTGAACCCAGATTACTGTATAGTGCACTGCTGCTCTCTGAGAAGTGGGAAACGCTTCTTTCAGCCCCACTAGAGGGGCCTGTCCAGTCTTCTCCTGACTTCAGGTCATTCACCTTCTAGGATTTGCTGGTGCTTTCCCCAGAAAGTCCTCTCCACTCCTCTCCCTATGTCCCTGCCACACCCCATCCATCTGATTAAGTGCTCTGGAGCAGTTCATCAAAGGGCTGGTATCATGCTGGAAGGGGGAATACTGGAATGAGAGGGGTGTGGTTGTTGCCCCAAGTGTAATTGGGGGAGGGCTGTGATTCCTCTTTAAAGAAGGGAGATTGTTGGGGTCTCAGCAGCTAGCCTAAGACTTGACAAAAATCCCCTGCCCCTGGAAGCAAGAGCAGGCCCTGTTTACAAAGACCCAGGGGGTGCAACTCAGCACTCCCCACAGGCAGGCACTCTGGTTAAGAATGAGGAACATCGGGGCTATGGTGCCGCCAGCAGGTCAATCTGTACCTGTGAGGTGAGTGCATCAGCAGCCTGATGGCGCCTTCAGACTTCCAGATACCCCAAAATTGCTGCTGTGCCTTTGGCCAGACCCCAAAAACTTGGAGCAAAGTTTACCAAGAAAGTAAACAGCCAAAAGTTAGGTATGTGGGAGACACACCCACAAACCACCTCCGGCTCAGCTATATACTTGAAGGCATGGCTTCTCTGGTTCCTGATGAAACTCCTTACTGGCCATGATCCCAGAGATTCAGAAACAAATCTCAAAACCCAACGGCTTTTGGCAGAAATGCGTTCAGTCCCTGCAGTAGGATACCGGCGCTGGGCCACCCCAGGTGGGAATAGGTTTCGTGACTTGGCCTGTTCCCCCTGGCGGTCCAGTGGCCGCCATCCTCCAGAGGTCACTGAACAGTCAGGTTTGGGCCCGCAGTGACGAGACACACAGGGCCTCACGGGATGAAGGTGGAGCCAGTCCTGTCCTCCCCACCCCAACGAGATCCCAAGTCATTGCCCACGAACGGCCTCTCTGGCTCCTGATCAAGCTGCTTAATGGCCATGATCTCAGAGACTCAGAAACAAATCTTGAAACCCAGTGGCTTTTGGCAGAAATGCGTCGAATCCCACAGTAGGTTACTGTTGCCGGGCCACCCCAGAGGGGAAAGGGTGTTGTCACTCTACCTGCTCCCCCTTGGCAGCTCGGTGGCCGTCATCCTCCAGAGGCCACTGGACAGTCAGGCTTGGGCCCGCAGTGACAAAACTTGTTGGGCCTCATGGGATGGGGTGGAGCCGGTCCTGTCCTCCCCGTCCCAACGAGACCGCAAGTCATTGTCCACGAACGGCCTCTCTGGCTCCTGATCAAGCTGCCTTTAAGCCTTTAAGCCATGATCCCAGAGACTCAGAAACAATCTCAAAACCCAGCGGCTTTTGGCAGAATTGCGTCCGGACCACACAGTAGGTTACTGTCGCCGGGCCACCCCAGGAGGGAAAGGGTGCTGTCCCTCCGCCTGCTTCCCCCTGGCAGCTCGGTGGCCATTGTCCTTCAGAGGCCATTGGACAGTCAGATTTGGGCTCGCAGTGATGAGACACGCAGGGCTTCATGGGATGGGGGTGGAGCCGGTCCTGTCCTCCCCACCCCAATGAGACCCCAAGTCTTCGCTCATGAACGGCCTTTCTGGCTCCTGATCAAGCTGTTTAACGGCCATGATCCCAGAGACTCAGGAGCAAACCTTGGAACCCAGCAGGTTTTGGCAGAAATCCCTTCAGATTTAAGTGTTCAAATTTTGGAATTTCAAAATTGCACGGCCACTACTGCGGCCATGTGACATCATATGTTATTCATAACCAGCAATAGAAAACAAATTGTCTACTGTTTCCTTTTCAGCAGATCTGAGTGTTGGGGTAAAATCTCAAATAATAATTGTGGGTCTGGTGTCAAAATATTGATTGTGATCAAAGTAGAGTGAGTAATGTGGAAATCATCTGCCCCACAGGTAGGGGGAGGGTGTGGGATGGGGGTATCCTGGGGTTGTTGGGGGTGGAGAATGGGCACTGGTGAAAGTATGGGTGTTTCATTGTATTTCCGAGACTTAGACCTGAAAGCTTTGTAACTGCTCTCAGGGTGATTCAATAAATAAAAGTATAAAAAATTTAAAAAAAAGAATGAGGAACATGACTGTGCCCACCCACCCATATTGTTAACCTGGCCCTAAGAGCAGGATATGTAAATCATTAACTGACATCTGTGAGCCCTACCTGAGGAGCCTGAGAAATGTGCTATACAAGGGAACTGTGCTGAGTGTGGGATTGCCCCCCCCCCCCAGTGTACTATTAGAACCCCTGAGTAGGGGTCAATAAATGGAGAACTGCTTGACCACCAGACTTCCCCCTTCAGTGGCTTTCTTTCTCGGTGGCGGCGACACCCAGAGGCTTCTCCCCTACCCACTCCCTCTCCTATAGGGAGTAAGTCTGGCGACTGGACTGGCCAGGACCCTGCCAGGAGACTCTGACCCCGGACCAGGCTGAGTCTCATCTGGGGTAGGTACCCTGGAGGGTGAGGGAGCGTGGGGGAGTCCTGAAAACCTCCAGAATCCAATCACCCCATGCTTAAAACCCATCTCCACAGGCTTAGGACAGTCTCATCCATGAGTGAATTGGTTGAAAAATTCAGGTATGAGGGTTTTGTGACTGAAAAATTCAGGTATGAGGGTTTTGTGACTGAAAAATTCAGGTATGAGGGTTTTGTGACTGAAATCTCAGACTCTCATGGAGTTTGGAATGGGAGCCCTCCCCCTTCTCCCTGTGCTTCCGAGAGCCTGGCAGTCATACCTACGAGCTGCTTCTAGTGTCATATATGCTCATTAATGGCAATGATCTGGAGATTCACAAATAAATCTTGGAAGAGATCAACAAGCGGCAGAGATGCCTCCAGACTCCAAAATCATCATTCAGTTAAAAATTTAACTCCAGGGCCGGAGCAATAGCACAGTGGGTAGGGCATTTGCCTTGCACGCGGCCGACCCAGGTTCCATCCCTGGCATCCCACATGGTCCCCCAAGCACCACCAGGAGTAATTCCTGAGTGCAGAGCCAGGAGTGACCCCTGAGCATTGCTTGGTGTGACCCAAAAGGCAAAAAAAAAAAAAAAAAAACTTAACTCCAGCTGTATCACCCTATTTAAAATTTTAGAATTCTTGGAGCATGCAACTGCAAATCTCATACTCTACACCAGTGATGTACCAGGAGTAGCACACCACATTAGATCGGGTGTAAAATGGAAGGTCACTGACCTCAATAAAAATAAATTAGCACACAAGGCTCAACTTGTAAAAACATGTTAGTAATCTCTTACATAAGGGTTTAATGAGATATAACAGGGTGAGATATAATAATCTTCACATATTTTTTCTAAGAAAATTTTTCTTGATCATTAGCAGATTACTCATAACGAGTAATACAAAATAAATTACTTAGGCCCTGTGATTGGGGCAGGCTTGGGTAGGTGGTGGCTGGAAAATTCAAAATAATAATGGTGGAAAGGCGTAATGGTGGTGGGATTGGTGTTAGAATATTGAACGTAATGAATTATTGTGAACAACTTTATAAAAATAAAGTTAAACTTAAAAAATAAAGAAGGTAAATCCCGGGGACCAGAGCAACAGTTGAGCAAGTAGAGTGTTTGTCTTGCATGTAGGTAACCCAGAGTTGATCCTCAGCATCCTATACGGTCCTCCAAGCACTGTCGGACTAATTCCTGAGTGCAGAGACAGGAGTAAACCCTGAGCACCGACTGGTGTTGCTCAAAACAAAAACCAACCAAACAAAAAAGAGTAGATTCCTCAGGAGCACTGAGTAATTCTGTTTCTAGAAAAAGGGGGTGGCCAGCCAAATTAGTTTGGAGGACTCTGCTCTAAAATTTGAGCTCCCTCTGTTTCCGCATGCATGCACCCTAGTGTTTGTAATGCAGATGGTGTAAGAGTCTGCAAAGTCCCTTTTGTCGCCTCCCCGCCTTCCTACAAATAATTTAAAGTGATTCTTCCCTAGGTGTTGCCAGGAGATCTTTCTTTCTCTGTGAAATAAATATATGCTCCTTTCTACTGAGTGCAGGAATGAGCACTGCTTTCTAAGTAGATAATGGGGGCTGGGGAGGGAGGAAAGAAAAAAAAATCAAGCTTAATCATACCCGGGTGTTAATAATCCCAGGAATATCCTGGCGTATTTCTTCTGGACATTTCTCCACATGTGGCCTTGCTCATAGTCTCACCTCTGGCTCCCTATGCGACCCACACACCTGTCCCTCAGGCATCTCTGGCGGCTGTTGCATCCTGAACATCACGTGTCCTGGCGTTGCAGGCACACAACTTGTTCTAGATGGCACAGGACTTCTCGTCTGGATCTCAAACCGTGTTTCTTAGACCCGTTTTGTTACATTTGTTACAACTTTGTTGCGGCTGTTTCCATGCAATCGCTCTCACTTTCAGGAACAAATCTGAATACCAGACCTGGTCCTGCAAGGCGAGGGGTAACTACTTCGCTTTCCGAAAGACAAAGGACGGCCTGAGCTCCCCGGCTACTGGGTTTAACCTTTCCCCTACTGCGAGCTGAAATCGCGGCTGGAAAAGCAACTTCCCGGCGCTGCCGGCGGCCCCGGCCCTCCGCACCGCCCGCCCGCCCGCCGGCCTTACCTGGGCAGCGCCAGCGCCTCCTCGGTGCGGCTCAGGGCGCGGGCGAACGAGGGCAGCACCAGGACCCCGTCCAGGTCGAAAATGACCGCGCGCAGCGCCATGGCGGCCGCGGCTCTGGCTTCCACCGGGGCCCCAGAGCTCCGACCTGGGCAGGGCGAAAAGGCCAGGGAGTCCACGGCGCCCGGGGGCCCGCCCACTCCGGCCCCGCCCCCGACCCGGCGGACCCCGCCCCCTGCCCCGCCCCTCAAGGCCTAAACAGGCCCCGCCCAACGATGCCCCGCCCAGGTCCCGCCCTGGCCACGCCCCGTCTAGGTCCCGCCCATATGTCCCCGCCTCCTGCCTTGGCCCCGCCCAGCCCCTTCCTTATCTTCCCTCCCCCCCCACTCCTTGGCCTTGGCCCTGCCTCCGCTCTACTCCCCTCCCCCCCCCCCCCCCCCCCCCCCCCGCTGTGTCCCGCCCCTACTCTGGCCAGCAGTGTCTCCTTCCTCCTGACCCCTGTTATGGTTTGCTGGCCTTGCCAAGCAAAGGCCTGTCTGTTTCCATAGAATGATTGCACTCATTTGTGGGATATGAAAACCAGTATGTGACTGATACCCAAGAACAGCAGAAATGAGGGCCAGGGAGATGGTCCATGGTTGGAAGCTGGCCACAACTTAGGGGGAGGGCAGTTAGGATAGGGAAGGGACCAGTGTAGCCATGCTAGCTGGAAAGGATCACACTGGACATGAACTCCGAGGGAAAGGGACAAACATGATAACCTCTCAGTACCTGTATTGCAAACCATAAAGCCCAAAGGGGAGAGGGAGGGGTGGGGGAGAGAGAGAGGGAGAAGGAAGGGGAGAAAGAGAGGAGGGAGGGGAGAGAGAGGAGAAACGTATCTGCCATAGAGGCAAGTGAGGAGGGGGTGCCACGAAGGAGGGAAACTGAGGTCATTGGTGGTGGGAAATGTACTCTGTACACTGGTGAAGGAACATTGTATGATAGAATCCTGAGCATAAACAGCTTTGTATCTCACGGTGATTTAATTTAAAAAAAAAAAAAAGGACCTATTTCCATGGGGTCACATTCCATCCAGGGCTTTCCAGGGTACCTTGGCTGTCCCAGCTCCATCTCCACCCCCCAATCTCCCTGGTCCTCCCAAGAAGGGCTGATGAGCCATATTTGGCTGACCACTGAGAGCAGGTTTGCTGGACAGTCCCTGTTCTGTCATGCATAGGACAGCTGTGAGGGGACACAGGTCCTAAGCATGACCAAAGCTCTTTCTCTCCGGGTTTAGATCCTTCTCATTGCGTTTGTGTTGGCTTACACTGGCATGTTTGGTGTTCCCCTGCTCCAGACTCCTTACTCGCAGTGTTTCTGGGATGAAGCAGAATGCTTTGTGTACAGTGCTCAGCCCAGGATACTTCCATGAAGCTGGAAGACATAGGCGTGGGGTTTGTGGACCCCGCTTTGCTGCCTTCTGCTCACCATCTTGGTGTGATTGGGGGCCCTTGAGTTGGGCTTTCTGAGGGCAGTGGCCCCTGTGCCTCTGCCCGTGACTCTGTGATGTGCTTTGGCAGAGAGAGGGCCCAGGACACGACACAGAAGGCCCTTCTCCAGAATGAGGCCCCGGAGCTTTGACCCGGCCACTCCCTCCCACCCGTTAGCAGACTGTTGTGGCTGATGTCCTAGAACTCTGATCTGCCACATTCTCGCTCCGACCCATCACCAATCTGTTGTGCGAGAGAAACGAAGGTGTGGGGGATGTTTGGTCCCGGTGAATGTGACCTTGCTTTCATCTTTGTCCCACAACGTCTCCTGGGGTCATCTATGAGGAACTTTTCTTGTGGCCTAAGTCCACTCCCACAATGCCGGTGAGCAGGCAGCAAGTCAAGGGGAGGGTGGGCAAGATGGACATTCGATTTGGGGTTGTTATTTGTTTTGTTTTATTTGCTATTTGGGTCACACTGATGATCCTCAGGGCTTCCTCCTGGCTCTGCACTTAGGAATCACTCCTGGCACTGCTCGGGGGAGCCTGTGGGATGCCAGGGATCGAACCCGGGTCAGTTGTACTATCACTCCCACTCCAGTCATTTGACTTTGGGCTTGGCTGGCAGGGGAGACGGTTTCTGAGCATTTCCAGTGGGTCGGAGTGGGCAGAACTCTTGGTGTTGCCACTTCCCTTGGGCCGGACCAAATCAAGGAACTCCTGCACGGCTGCGGGGCCTTGGGCTCGCCTGGCTGAAACAGAGCCTCCTCTGTCCCTGTGTCCAGGCTTGGGCAGCCCCTGTGTGACTCAATGAGCCCCTTTTTCTCTGCGGCTCAGCCCAGTGAAACAAGAGCCGCTCTGGGGCCTGGCTCTCAGCCAAGCCTGTTTCTGGCCTGGTTCCCAGAGGCGGCCAGCTGACGGGGGCAGAGGTAATGGGCTCCTCCAGGGCACCGCCTGCTGCTCCCCCCCCCCCCCCAAGTATTTATAAAGCTCTTGTGGTCTCTAGTTTTCTGTAGAAAAGTTTTCTTTTTCTGTTTCTGGACCACAAGTCCCAGCGGTGCTCAGGGATCACTCCTAGTGGGCTCGGGGTGCTGCCAGAGACCATCAAACCCAAGTTGGCTGTGTGCAGTCAGACGCCCTTCCCACTGTGTTATCACTCCGGCCTGGAGAGTTTGATTTGGTTTTAGTTTGGGGCCACACTTGGCAGTGCTGGGCGCTCTTCTGGCTCCGTACAGCAGTGGCTAGGGGACCACGTGGTTCTGGGATAAAACCCAAATCTCTCACATGCCAAGGATGCACTTAAGCCTTTGAGCTCAGAATTGGGTTTAACAAATGCCTGTTTGGGGGTGATTCAGCAGAGGTGAGACTTCAGCACAGGGAGGTAGAACAGCTGGTTAGAGGTGGCAGGGAGTGTCTCTTGGGGCCAGATGCTGGCACATTGGCCTGGTCTGCAGGGTGGGGTCTAGGCCCCTGTGAGTTACATAACTTCAGTAATTCAGTTTGGATGAGGATGAGAGGTCTCTGCTGCCCTTCAAAAAAATTAAACACATTAAATTTTTTTGTTAGGGTTATTTGGGGGCAGGGATGCATACCTGGCTATGCTCAGGGCTTACTCTTGGCTCTGTGCTCAGGGATCACTCCTGGCAGTGCTCGGGGGACTGTGTGTGGTGTTGGGGACAGATCGGGGGTCAGCCATGTGCAAGCATGCGCGTTACTCCCGGACTGTCTGTCTTTCTAGCTGCCCCCCTGCCGCCCCCTTGCTGCCTTTGGGGGGGGGAGGGGCGGGGTTGCACATTTCCCTCATTCTTCCCCACTGCTCTCTGGATGGGAAGCCTTCTTTCAGCGGGAATATGGGAGCTGAGTAGCTTTTTGAAATGTAAATCCTAACCCTTAGGTCTGCTCATTTTAATTATTCGAAAATATGTTTTAGACGATAGCATAAAATCAGAGATGGCGGCTAATGCGGGGTGACAATTCCGAAATTAGACCTGAAGCCGCTTGCCGGATGTAAGGAGCGCACGCTGAACTGGTTAGGCTCTCCTCCCCGCTCCGGCCCTCCCGCCCACCCTCTGCCTGCTCACCTGTTCGCTGGACTGGGGCTCCCTCCTACTTAAAACTGATTAATCCTGCGAGGTCAAGGGGTGGGTGTGACCTGCCACTTCCACCGTCAAACTGGAATTAAACCCACAGTCCTCCCTAACCTTTGCTTTCTTTCATGCCGCAGACACGTTTAATTTCTTTTATTCACTCAGTACTTGCGTGGTGTGTTTAACATCTGCCAGAGCAGTTCCCTTTTGGCTGAGAAATTTTTATATGACTTCGAGTAGCTAGGTATATAAAACACATACATGAACCAAACATTGACGGGCCAGATGCCAGAGTAAATTTGTTTTAGAGAGCAAGAGATAGCACAGGAGTTAAGCCACTTGCTCTGCACGTGGCCAACTCTAGTCCTTGCATTGCATTGGTGTCCCCTGAGCAGTCCTGAGCACGGAAACAGGGTGTGCCTCAGTACTCCCTACCTCTGCAAAAAGACACCAATTTATTTAAGAATACGTTCAGGGAGGGTGGAGTGATAGCACAGTGGGTAGGGTGTTTGCCTTGCACGCAGCTGAATCCGGGTTCGATTCCCAGCATCCTATATGGTCCCCTGAGCGCCGCCTAGAGTAATTCCTGAGTGCAGAGCCAGGAGTAACCCCTGAGCATCATTGGGTGTGACCCCAAAATAGCACTGTAGCACTGTCCTCCCGTTGTTCATCAATTTGCTCTAGCGGGCCCAGTAACATTGTGAGACTTGTTACTGTGTTTGGCAAATATCAAATACGTCATGGGTAGCTTGCCAGGCTCTGTCGTGCGGGCGAGATACTCTCGGTAGCTTACCAGGCTCTCCAAGAGGGGCGGAGGAATCAAACCCGGGTCGGCCGGGTCGGCCTCATGCAAGGCAAACATCCTACCCGCTGTGCTATCGCTCCAGCCCGACCCAAAAATACAAACAAAAAATATATAATTCAGAAACTCATGATTCATACATTCAGTTACGGGGCCCGATTGGACCCACCACTTAAGCAGGAAACTGAGATCATGAGGGTGAGGCCCCTGGGGTGGGATTCACGCCCTTATGAAAAGACCAGAGGGCTGGCAGTCAGCCTTGGGAAGAGGCCACCTGGGCCCCATGGATGCTCAAGGGCTGTAGCACCACTTTGTGTGAATGACACACAGGGTGGAGCCCCTGCATCTCACAGTCCCCTGAGCTCTACTGGAGTTCTCAGGACTGCAATGTGTGCGCCCCTCCCCCCAAAGCTAAACATCATGGGAGCACACAGGGAAACTACCACTGAGAAACCATGACGGGAGATTCCAGCTGAGCCAGCATCTTCCCAGCCTCCTGGTCACTGAGAAATAAAACTTCTGTTGTTGAAGCCACCCGACCTACATTATTCTGTCACGACTGACTGGATAACCCTGGGCATTAGAGACGCACAAATACGGAGGTGGAGAGGTAGCACAGCAGGGAGGGCACTCGCCTTTTACCCAGCTCACCCAGGATCAAGCCCTAAGCCTGCCAGGAGTGATCCCTGAGCACAGAGCCAGGAGAAAGCCCCAAGCACACCTAGGAGTGGCCCCCAAACCACATCAAACGTGCGTAAATACTTAAGATCAGCTCCGGAG